CTTCTCTGTGTCCAGTGTTTGGAGGACTGCAAAGCGTTCAGTCATCACTGCTGAAACGTTCTTGCCCAAGGTGGACACTGTCTTTGCCAGCAGCTAAGAATATTTAATCACTTTTCCTCTAAAAACTGGAAGGTGATTTTTAAAAGCCTCTTAATTTAAGCTTTTCCCATCCTTTCCCTCCCCTCTGCATTCTGCAATGGGAAAATGCTCCTCTGCCAAACCAGAGCAGAGCAGAATTTAAAGGAACTGTCCAAAGTTGCTGTTCATCCTCTAAAGCAGGAGAGGAAGTGGGGGACAGTGCACTCATGTTAAGAAGGATTTTTCATATGGTCACTTATCACAAAGCAGGGTGGGAGGAAACAAAATTAGACTTCAATTGCTGTCAAGAGAAAAAGCAAGCACTGGCACTCAGGTGTGCAGAGAAAGAACTCACTCAACTTTGCAGCCCAGTCTGAACGGTCAACAAGCAGGTCTTAGTTGGGCAAAGCCCATTTCATGTGCCCTAAGCCAAGCCTGCTGTGCCAGACTCTGGAGAGCAGGAACCTGAACTCAGGGTGTTCAAGATTTGACGGAAAAGTCAATGAAGGCAAAGGTTTCTCTCTGGGAAAGAAAAAAAAACCAAACCAAAAAAACCAAGAGAAAATCACTGAACCTTTGCCTTTCCTACCACAGCAACACTCCAGCAGCCCTGCCAGGCTGGATCCAAGCTTGGAGATCACCAGCTGAATTTGTGCTCCCACGAACAAGACTCCCAGTGCTGGAGGCTCCAGCAGGTCCCTGCTCGCCCTGTGCCAGCCCCAAGGACCAGCAGCACAGTGCAAACACTCAGGAGGTCACCAGGTTTTGTGCCAACTCCAGGCACTGCAGATGGGGCAGATAACGCTGGTGAAACCACCACAGTACCTTTAGTAAAGATTTCTCTCCCTTGTGGCGTTTCCAAACCCATCTGTTAGAAATCTGCTTTCAGCTGGCTGCAGAGGCTTCTATTGATGTCCTGCCAAAGCACAGCACATGGCCTAGAGGTCCTCACAAAGAACAAAAACCCACCCTGATCCACCAAGGACAAACCTTGCCCCCCTAAAAAACAAAAAGCTTAGGATGCACCCCATGTGTCCTACAGAATCCCCGCTGGGGTTCCTGGAATGTGGCTCTGGGCCAGCTTCCTGCCTACAGGACACGCTGCCAGCAGACTTTCCAGGTTTTACCGCAGGCAAGGAGTGACCCAGACTCTTCCCAGACACCCTGCACTGTCTGAAGGCTGTTTAATCTCCTTGTGCAGCTTTACCAGCCTTTTTGTTCGAGAATTTTAGGCACTGACAACGCAAGAAACCCGACGAGTTGCGTTGAGATACGTCCGTGTAATGTTTCCTAGGAAGCTCTTCCTATTGAAGGAACAATTTTGCTTCTCCATGTAATTGATCCCAGACCATTATAGTGAGAAATCACTGCTGAACACAAGGGCCAGTTGGTGAAAAAGAGAAAGAACCTCCCTCAGCAGCGGCTCAAGCAGCTTCAGAACAAACAACCCGGCGGGGAGATCTCTATCTGACACAGGTCAGATGTCTCCGCTGCTTTCCTGGGCCGCTGCTGCACCGGGGTTGTGCAACCACCAAAGGAAACAGGCTGGGACAGGTGCCAGGTGTGGGAACAGGAGTTAAAAGGGAACAGAATGGCAGTGGATTCCTGCTCAGGAGCTCAGGTGGTGCAGAAGGGGGTGAGGGGGAGCCAACAGGGCTCTGAAAGGCAGCCTGTGCACCTGATTTCAGCCTGGCCTGGCTGTTTCGCAGCACTTCTGTTCAGAAATATCCTAAATGTGCTTTTGTGCTGGAGAGATTTTTTTATTTTACAAGAAAAAAAAGGAAATTAAGACTTTTCCCTGCAGTTTCATAAGTAGAGCAGCAGAAGCTCCTGGTGGTCAGGGTGCAGGTGTTACCTGACCAACCCTGCACCACATCCTTGAAGGAGACCCTCAGCACCACATTTTTAAGGTTTTATGTAGCTAAGCAGTAAGCAAAGTGGCTGTGTTTGTTTTATTGCTGGCATGGTGTGATCATACCACGTGTGAAAGGAATCAAATCCACCAGAAGGAGTAGGTTCTGTTCACCTCTGCATGTGCCAGGGAATTCTCTTTTCCCTTGAAACAGGGAAGATGCAGAAATAGGGCTTTGGGTATCAATTCTCCTACCAAATGCCTGTGGCATCACAGAGGGGTTTGAGACAGTCACAGAGCCAAGAGCTCAGATTCCTGCAGCTCTGGAGCACCAGGAAGAGGGTGGTACCTGTGCATATGACTGTACTGCCCTAAATTCACCTTACTGAGGAGAGTCAAGATGAGATGCATCACTAGAGGCCACAAAGTGACTGATAACCCTCATCATTTTGCCTCCCAAATTTGTCTGACAGTCATTTATAGCAGCTGAGGGATGGGGAAGGAGTCCCAGCACCCTGTAGCAGCAGGGACGTGGGCTGCAAGGGAACAGGGCTGCAAGTGGACCCACCAGCAGCAGGTAAGAAAAGCTGCTGTTTTCGGCAGAAAGTGCTGGGCCCTGCCCGGCCGAGGGGGGCACTGAGAGGAGTGTGGAGTTCACTGAGTGTTGAATTCATCATTCATTCGCGCTTCCTCGCTGTTGCAAGTGCAGCGGAGAAAGAGAGGAGGCAGACGGGGCACAGCCCCTTCTGGGGACACAGACACACCGCGTGGAGAGACAAGGAAAACTGTGACGGGTCTCACTGGGAATGTTTCTGAGGGATGCGCTGCCCCTGCAGGGCTCCGGCTCCGTGCAAAACGGACAGACAGACTTATCTCCCGCTGCAAATCCAGCGAGAAACTCGGGGACAAGAGGAGCGGGGCAGCAGGAGCGCTGGAGATGCTCGGGGGCTGCGGAGCGTCCCGCTCGCTCTGCTCCTCCCGGGAACGCTCCCGAGCGGCGATATCCCCCTGCTCCAGCCTCGGAGACCTCCCCGCCACCGGCTCCATCCGTGCCGGCCCCTGCCCCGGGCAGGAACTCAGCCTCCGGCTCCATCCCATCCCATCCCATCCCATCCCATCCCATCCCATCCCATCCCATCCCATCCCATCCCATCCCATCCCATCCCCAGCTCCATCCAATTCCACCCCGGGCACTCGCTGCCGGCGCTCGGGCGCGGAGATGCTCGAGATGTTCCGCGCTTCCCAAAGTGCCTTCTCCTCGCCTCCGCCCCCGTTACCCGCCCCCGGGACCCTCTGCGCCCCCGGCCCGGTTACCTGCGCCTTCTCGGGGTCCCGGCAGGTCGCCAGGACGAAGTCTGGGGAGGGGGTGGCGGCCGCGAGCCCCCGCACCAGCCCCAGCCCGATGCCGCGGCTGCAGCCGGTGATGAGCACGGAGCGGCAGCGCGGCTGGGCCATGGCTGGCTCGGCTCGGCCCGGCTGGTCCCGGCTCGGCTGGTCCCGGCTCGCTGCGCTCCCGGCTCAGTTCTCACCCACACGCGGTTCTCAACCTGCGCGATGCGGAGCCGTCCCGGTCCCGCCCCCGCCCGGCGCCTCCCCCGGGGTAGGGAAGGAACGGGCTCGGACCGAGGAAGGTGGATCTGCTCTTCCCCCTCTCACAAAGCCCCGAGCCCATCTCGCTCCCAAGCCCCGCTCCACAAACTCCCGCAGCGAACAAAGAGAGCCCTGACCACAGGCAGCCCTGCCTTTGCTAATCCTCACACATATTCCCCACAGGCCTTGCGTGTGCCATCCCACATCAACAACCTACTCCTGATCCACACACTCATACAGAATCTGGTAGGTGCAGGGATAGAGGCTTTAATTACATCTGCTGGCACAATATTGTATTTTCTTTATTAAAAGCTCACTGAGCTCTTAAAATATTAACTCCATCCCAACAGAGGTCGGGGACAGCCTCTCCCCTCAGACTTGGGAGACAAAACCACAAAGAGGTTCTGCAATTTGTTAAAATTCTGTGGAAAAGCCTCAAACATTTGCTGGGTGTGCCCCGTTTCCCATTTTTTGATTTATTTCTAAGAAACTGCAGTAGCTCCAAAAATGTACAGGATGTACTTAAAATATCTGGAATCCCAGAATATCACTCCCAGGGTGAGAGGAGGGTGACAGGACATTTGCAGACAGGTCCTCAGACACACCAAGTGTTGGCTGTGAGCAAAGATGACCAGTAGCTCCTGGCTCAGCCTGGATTCCAGGTCCCCAAAGCTGGTGGGACACACTGGAGGTGGCAGAAGCCAGCAAGAAAGGCTGCCCTGGGTACTCAAACCTGCTTTTCTTCCCAATAAAGCTCCTTTCCAGCCACCTCTGTCTCACAAACACTCAACACTCTTCTTTTCCAGGTGCTTTAATCCATTACCTTCCTTCCCAGGTGTGCATTTCCCAACTCCCTATGTGACAACAAAGCATTCTGGTGGGTTTGCAGTCTTTTAAAAAATCCCAATCGGGCATAAAACTGCTTAGTGACCTCTTTGTGTTTGGGATCTGAACACCAGGAATGGGGATCACTGAATAACCTGAGATGTTCTGATGAGCAAGAACCCTGGAAGAGTCATCAGATGCTGAGACAACAAAGTCATAACTCACCTCGAGAGCTGAGACCTGGATGTGCAGGCTCATAAAAACCTGGGGCTTTTTAATTTCAGGTTTATTTTTGATTTCAGCTCCTCCTCTTCCGCCAGCTCCAGCCACGGGATCTCCGCTGTGCTCAGCAGCAGCACCGACTTCCCAAAATGTCCCAGCCCTGCTCAGGAACCTCAGCTGGAACCTACCAGCTTCACCTGGAGGCAGGGAAAGGCACTTCCCAGCTCAGATCTTTGTGGATTGGGGGATGTTACATTTGGGATTGACTGGAGAGGTGCCTAAACTAATAGAATGCCCCAAAATTCCTAACTTCGAGGGAACAGGGATTTAATCCGATGTTTTAAGCCCACTACAATTTGACAATCATCCAGCACCAAATTTCTTTCCTTATGAGTAAGCACAGGGGTGTAGCTCATAAGAAACTACTATCAAGTAAATTTAATAGAAAATCAAATACTTTAATGAAATCAGGGAGCATGAGAGAGTAACAGCTCAGATATACCACTAGAACTGATACTACTGGGCTGTGGGGGTCTGCTAATTGGCTTTTAAACGCTCTGTTCTCCAACAAGCATGCAGATTGACAAACTACTAATTCTTCAGAGTGTCAAAGATCCTGAGTAAAGAATTTCAAACCACTCAAAATGTATATATAGGAAATGTCTTATGAGCTGGTGGCCTGCACACAGCATTGCACAGATAAAAATATACTACTCTCAATGCACAGAGCTAAATACTTTCACATTTATCAGAATTTTCTACACAAGGGTTTGTTTTTTATAGAATTCAAGTTTTGAATTTTCTGTATATATCTTCACCTGTATTAAACAAATGCTTATTTACAATTGTGGATAAAGTGTAAAGGCTAGTAAGGCCATATTTCCATATTGTACTGTAACACTGCAAAATATATATACACATAGAACCTAATATAGGCAACAGGGCTAGAAAAGTCACCCCCCATCTGAACAACACCAGAGTCAGTATGAAAAGACAGCTTTGTTAGCACCAGAGCCACTCCCAGGGGTTAGGAACTGCCTGGGGGCCTTCCCGTTCCACAGGGCACAGCATTCCAAGGGCTGAGCCACAGGGAAGTGGAAGTCCCAGACGGGACGCTACGGGATGGGAATCACTAAAGAGCAGGACGGGTGACGCTCCAGCACAACAGTCACCGGGACATCTCTCACATGGAGCCCCTCACCCTTTGGATTCAGGAAGGAGCAGGGAGCTCCAGCAGGATGGACCTTAGGGAGCGAGGTGGTTCGAAGCCCAGGCTCAGGAGCAGGGTGCCCTCAGCGGCGGTGCCGGCTGTGCCCGGGGTGCTCGCGCTCGTAGCGGTGCCCGGCGCGCTCGTAGGAGCGGGAGCGCTCGTGCCGGTGGTTCCGGTAGTAGTGGCTCTTCTTCTTGTACTTGCCGGAGTGGTCGGAGCGCTCCCGGGAGCGGCTGCGGGAGCGGGACGAGCTGCGGCTGCGGGATTTGCGGGGTTTGTGTGTGGAGTATTTGTAGTCTTTGGATTTCTTGTAGCTCCTCACCTTGGAGCCTTTGTAGCCCGAGCTGTGGTTGAACTGGCGCGGGGGGGAGTCGCTGCGGCTCCGGGAGCGGCTGTGGGATTTGGAGCCGCTGGAGGTGGAGTAACTCTCGCTTTTCCTAGGAAAAAAAGAGGAGAGAAAACACAATTTAAGAAAATTGTGACATCTTCATTCTGCACTCTGTTGTTCTGTACAGCTGCAATTTCCACACACACAACCACCCACAAAGAGATCTGAACAAGTTCACAGAAAGCAGAAGTTAATCCGAAACTTTATGCCGAACACTGCGTCCTAAAACATCTGCTTACTGGAGAAATCTTTAGGAACTTGTATCCCTTTCTCCAGCTTCAGTTATAGTGACACTGCCACCAAAACACCCCAGCTTGGAGTTTAGTCTGGAGTTTAACTGGCAGCACACACTGCTGTGTCACTTCACAGCCTCTTGGGGACAAACCACGGTGAAATGCCAGCCTGGGAGGGTGTCCCAGCACAGCCCCCCCGTGCAGCAGCACATACCTGTGCTTAGGGGATGCAGATCTCGAGGCTGATCTGGAGTAACTCTGATCTCTGCTCCCACTCCGACTTCTGCTCTCCCTCCCTTTCTGGACACTGTAAGAGACAATAAACCCTCAGTTATTTTGCTTAAAGTACTCGTGGGAAGAAATAAGCTGCTTCCTTATGAGGCCTTACCCATTTACTGGGCTATTGGAGCTCGTTCTTTTGGCTCCCTCTGTTTTCCTTTTAGCATTCTTCATTGCCTGGACAGGTAGTGGGGAAGGTTTATTTCCTTTAACCTCCTTTGGAGACTCTGGAAAAACAAGCCTTTGTTACCTATTTTGCAAGTATGGGAAGTACCTGAAAGGACTGAAGGCTCCCCTCGCCCCATCTCACCACCTCTGCAAGGATCAGAACTGTACAGCTGCATTTTCCACACACACAACCACCCACAAACAGATCTGAACAAGTTCACAGAAAGCAGAAGTTATCTGAAACTTTTTGCCAAATGTTTCACTCAAGGAGTGAACTGGAGGCAGAAGAGCAACTTCCTTTTCTTGCCAGTTATTCAGTATCACTTTAAAGGTAAACTGAGGGGAGATGATGGCAAATGTTACCTTCTAGGCAAGACTGGCACCAGACTGGAAACTTTCAAACCAAGAAGTGCAGGAAAATATTCCCCACCAGTCACCCCAAAATGTTACTCCTGCCAGAGCTCCTAACACACCTCTGCTTTAATACTGCTTTAGCATAACATGCCAGTTGCAAGTATTTATTGCCAAAACCACATAAAAACAAGCCCCTGCACTATATGAGTTTAAACTAGTCTTAATTTTAGACTAATTTGATTTTAGCTTTTATCTGATTCAAGAAATCACAAAGTTGCAATGCTATTCAAACTCTGCCAGTTGAACAGTAGTTAGAAGCCAGCTTGAAAAAAAATCCCCAACCAACCCCAAACCACACTTGTAAATGCATCCCGAAGGGGTAAATATACATGAAAGATGAGAAAGTTATTAAAACTGAGTTATCCACTATTTACCATTTTTCGGGGCAGGGGAAAATCCTGATGTGTTATCCAAACTCGGGACTCCCTCAGGTACCAGACCTTTAGCTTGTGCTTTTGCCTCTTCAATAGCTAATTTCTTCTTTTCTATTTTACTTTCCAGATCAGACAAATCCACCTGTGGACACAGGAGCACTGCTGGTGACAACACTTAGTGAACTGAACTTCCTGCTTGCTCGCTCACAGCGACTATTCCTTGCTCCCTTCATGTTCCCTTCCCAAAACCAGCCTTGGTTTCAAACAGGACAAGGGTTTGGGGTTTTTTTTAAGTGAGGGCTCCCAACATGCAAGAGAAACAAACCTTTTTCCGTGTGTAGAGCTGCAAAATTTTTAAGCAGATCTCCTGGATTTCCTCCTCCGTCGCTCCGAACAGCAAGAACCAGTGCGGGCGATTGGGAAGCGGGATCTGAAAGGCAGAGACAGAGACACCCTCAGCTTTCTGCTCCTGTGAGGAGGCTTAAAACCCCCTCCCAAATCCATGGAAAACCCTGGCTCACCTCCAGAGTCCTGGCTGCCAGGTAAATGCATGCACAGGCAATGCTTTCTGGCTGGAACCTCACAAAGACATCTGTTCTCAGGCTGTCGTTCATGTAGTTCCTGGAAGACAGGAGAGCAGAACGTTGCAAGGCACTGCAAAGCTCTTTGGGGTTTTTTGGTTTGTTCTGTTGTTTTATTTCTTTTGGTTTTACTTCTACGAGGGCTATTTCTTTCTGCATTCAGTTACTAGACTTCAACATTACAGTCCTGTAACTCTATAAAGAGAAGTTGAGTGATTTTTTTTTTTTTTTTAACTTGGAAACAAAAACTAAAGTAAATCCCTCAAGGGTAGGGATGTGTGACAGGAATTAAGCCTGACTGACTGCTGAAAATTCAGCTGTGAGAAGAGAACCAATTTGAACTTCACTTTTCCTGCTGGATCTCTACTGGCCTGCTCTCATGCAATAGACAAGTTATTTTCATCAGGACAACATACAATATGGTCTGGAGTACTCAGTTATAGAATTTTAGGTTCACATGTTTCCCTGCAATAGGGCAGAACCAGATGTCTGGCAAAAGCTGCAGCTCCTTCAGTAGCTGTCCCAGGAAAGTGCAGTCCTCTTCAGCACATGACAACTCCCACTGGGATTTAAGGGGTCCATTTCCTTCAGAAGCAGGATTTTTCCATCCAGAACAGAATTCTTTTTGATGCAAAAATCAGCCATAGAAGAAATCAGGTTGTTTGGGAACGTCAGTTCAGGATAACAGTCAGTATTCGGGCAGATCTCCTCTTTGGCACATGAAATAAGGTTTCCAAATTGTCCCATTTCAGTAAGGTTGCTTAAAATGAATATTCACAGAATGAGAAAACTGTAAAATATTGCACATATTCCAGTCAGTACACTTAAGAATTATCCTGCTAAATCTTAAAATACACAAAGTAACTTCCTCTGAATCTCTCAGCTGATGTGCTTTAAGAGATCTAGTTTTTGAGCACTTATATCAAGCAAAATATCAGATGGAGAAAAACTAAAACCAGACACAATAGAAGTCCTCCAAATATTATGTTTTAAAGTAGTAGTTAACCGTGTGGGTACCCAGTATACAAGGATTCACTGATCCCCAAGACATCCAAAGCAGAGACCACAGGCCAGACATCTGCAATCAGTTTACAAGGGCAGACAAAGGAACTTGAATCCCAAGAGTATCCAACTCCCACTTGTCCTACATTCCTGTTTACACAAAGAACAACTGCTACCCCAGAGAAGCAACACTACCCATTCAGCTCATCTTTCTGGGAAAAAAAGAACTTCAAAACCTACTTTTCTTGTCCCACTACAAAGAGAGCACAAACCTTTTGGTCAAAAAAAAAAAAAAGAGATAAAGTGGAACTTCAGCTGGAAGTCACACAGCCTTTTTTTTTAATGTGCCAAATTGAAAGACATGCCTGCTCCAGGTTTGGCCTCTGCACATCTTCCCTGTGGGCTCAGAATCAGACACGTGGGGAAATGAATCCTTGTCACAATATTTTAAGAAAAAGGGAAAGCTGTGAAAAATGCACATTTCAAAAACCAACTATACTGGATACCCACCAGTTTGCAGGTACTGGAAGCAACCAACATGAGCACAAGAGATGTGTTATTGTAACATCTGACCCATTTCTCTAGCAGGGTAACCCCCTCCCTCCTCCTCCCCTCCTCCCATTACAAGCAGATAACTGGCAGTGATCAGTCCATACCTCACATTCCAGTACTCCATGCAATGGTACTGGGAAGTCAGGAAGTGTCTCTAAGTGTTACATTTGTCTCCACGCTTCAAACATGTACTCAAACGTTTTCTGACTAGTTTACAAATGCAAACTACTCGTATTTTTTTGTGTTAATCCATCCCTTTAAGACTTAAACCCCACCTTAAATTTGCTTTATCACTTAAAGAACACATCACATTACGAGATAGAACATTAAAACCCTTTCGTAACTTCAACAGTCAGGTTATAAAATATACAAACAGTCAAAAATGCACAATAAACAAATAAAAGTATAAGCACAAGAAGCAGTTGGCCAGTTACTCTACTATCATGTATATACCACCTGTCTAGAGCCAGCCTTCTCTTTGGAGAGCTTTGGGTTGACTGAAGACGGCAGCTATCCCTGCACCATGGGCAGCAGAGGAGAAGTCTTAGTCACTTACCCTCAGAGGCTACCCTTTGATTAAAAGAGTACAGAAAAGAAAAGTCAAAACTGGTTCTCTACACACAGGTCACAGTACCAGACAGTTCAGTCAGCAGAAATATGGTCTTTGGACTCACTAAAAGGGTTTTTACACCACGCTATTGTTAAAAAGCATTACGGTTTCCAAGCGTTTATTTATTTGTTAAAAGTTTTCAGACCTGCAATTTTACAGAAGCTTCCCACCCCCAAGCAAATATTTATTGTAATGAGAGCAATAAGGCAGAGGACATTTCTTGGCAAACAAGAATCCAGTCTATCCATCTATCCAGTCTTAGAAGCTGACAACTTGCATTATCCACATAGAAATGTGTCTGTGCTGAGGTTTTGATACACCTGTAATCGAGCTCAAGCCCTGGGAAAAGCCATTTCCCAGCACTGGAAACAGACTTGAACTACACATGAACAACAAAAACCCAAGGAAACACTAAAACCCACCCCAACATTTTCCCTTCAGCTGAAAAGTGGAAGCAGAGAGGAGGGAAGTGAGAAGTCAGGGTGGAAAGCTACCTTACCATTAAAACAGTGCCTCTGACTTAAGAGGCCGATCAACATTTGGGAAGTAGTTTGGGGCACGCCAAGGACAGTGGATCTGTCTGGTGTGGCCCCAAGCACTCCTGAGCAATGCTGCCCAGTGCCTCAAGTGACATATTTCTGCTACTGCCCCTTCTGGTCTCTTAGAACAAGGAAAATCAACTTACCATGAGGTCTGGACCAGGTGTTGGTTACGTTCACATTCTAATACCTGAAGGTACATAACGATTATCTGGAAGATATGGGTCATTGAGTTATTAACGAGCATCTGGAGAGCCACCAACTCATTTCAGAGGGACATCCATGAGGCATCTGTCAGCCTCTTTCAAGTCCTACAACACTCCACATGAAGTGTTTGCACCATCCCCAGTGTTTATCCACACAGCTCTGGCCTTCCTAGCTCTCCACGTTCCGAGCCCATCCATCCTCCTCCTCAGCCAGGTGTCTTGTCTTCACCTGGATGCCACCTAAGGATGTTCTCCTACAAACCTCAGGGCTCCTTTTAGCTGCAGTTAGGGAGGAAATACTGCTGCCTGCACTGGGCAGTGAGGGAAGTGTGTGCAGAGAACAGATCTAACACACTGGCTGTCACTGGGCTGCTCAGCTCGAAGGGCTTTTCCTTTGAAAGGAGAACGAGGCCAGAAAGAAAAGGACTAAAGGCAAAGTTCACACCAGTGAACAAACTTGTGCAGCTGCCCTCCAGGGTGGGTGACTAGAGGGAATTCTGGATGCCAAGCAGGCTCAAAAAGAAGACTTTCAACAGCAGTTTTTGGAGGAAAGAGGAAGATCCCAAGTTCTGCTGGCACAGAAGTTGGAAGTTCTTTTACCATAGTTATAAAATTAATGGTAATAAAGCACCATCTTAATACCTGCAGGAGTTGTACCTGTCTAGTATCACCCTAGTCTGATACTTGACACTTCAATACTGAGAATAGTCTCATTTCTAGCCAAGCCCTTCACACCTGAGTGTAACTTTTAGAACACAAAGCCCACTAACTAGCTCAGATGGCTTTAATACCTCAGCATGTTTCCACAAGGAGAGATCGTGACAACTCCAGGTCCCCAACTCCTTTTCTGCTCAAGGATCTATGTTACAGTGACATTTTCTAACACCAAAGCTACCTACTCATCCAATTTGACTTCAAGGGATACTGAGCACCTGCATCCACCTCGTCGTCATTCAGCAGTGATACAAGACCAATTAGTAAGAGTCTCTTAAATGAGAAAGAAAACATCAGGATGGTAAGAAACTAATCTTTCTGAATTAACTGAAGTTATCATGTACAATCCACGCAGTCAGGCAGCCTCCTCAAAGCATTACAGCACAGGAAACACTGGTTATGAAGTGAACTTAGGCAGTACAAACCTTATGAGGGTGCTTCACATGAACACAAAATCCCAACTCCTTCAACACTCTTCTTTCTGCCTTAATTATTTGATTCTTCAAGTTCACATATTCTTGATCCAGTATTAGAGGCACAGGTTTTCTGCAAGACAAGGTCACATTCTGGAGATCATCTTAACCTCAGAGAGGGCTCATAGGCAGGCTGTGTTCATGTAAAAATAAGAGGTATCAGTATTTATAACACTAAAATAAATTACTTAATAAAATGTGTCAACTCCCCTTCACGAGATCTCTTCAAGATGCTCCCTGATTTATAAATCAGGGAATTATGAAGTTTAATTATTAAAATACAACACAAATACTTAATATTATTGCAGAGTCTCAGCTTACTTTTTCTCCCTCAGGTGTCTGAGGCGATGGAACACATTTATCACATCCCGTATCCGTCTTGGGGCTTCCTCAATTTTGGATGCCAGATGAACACAGGCCATGGACACATGCTGAAATACAAATATATAATTTTTTATAAGATATTGTACCATATAACAACAGTTTCAGCTCAGGAACTGAACTCTTCCAACAGCTGAAGGAGGGACAACAAGAGAAAACTGTGCTAACACAAGGAAATACTAAACATTTGAAAAAAATCATTATTATGTAGCTTTACAAAATTATGTTGTTCTCTAAGTATAACCTCCAGGCCAGCCACTAACACTGGCCACATCTCAGATGACAACTTGCCAAAAGAGATCCAAGATTAAAAGGTGTATATGGTTCTACGTATATAAATAACACATTATTTAATGTGCCCTTACCTCCATGGAATGCTTCACAAAAGACTTGGTATAAAAAAAACGCTGGAATAGCACCTGTCCTGTAGCCATAGCCACCTGAAAAAAAAAAAACCAGATAACCACAACAGGCATGAACAAAACCAGCAGTTCCAATGAGAAATTTCTACAGATTTGGGACCCAGAAGCCTGGGTAAGCATGGGAGTAAATTCAGTGGTATCTAAGGAAAACTAGAACTGCTACTTAAGTACTTAAGTTATCAAGACCATAAATACTCTAAGCCAAATTCATACATTAAATTGCAAATTTTAGAAAGTATGAAAATATGCTCCAAGTTAATTGAATAAATAGTGATTTAAAGGGGAAAAAAAAAGCCCCAAAACTCAATAAAACTGAAAGTTATGAGGATATACCGGAAAAACTTTGATTTTGGGGCGTGGAAAGAGAAATGGAAACTAATAACATTATGATTTGCATATATTTGAGTAGCTGAGGCCTGGCAGCTGGGAAACGCCTGGAAAGTTTTAACGCTCAGAGAGCAACGAGGCCGTTTGGGCCCGAAGTTCTCCAGGGGAACAAAAGCCTCTCGAGGTCACGACTCAAATCCGTCTTTGCACAATCCCCGATCACAGCGGGGGCGGCGCAGGAAAGGCGCTGACATCACCCGCTTCCTGCGCTCCGCGGCCGGGCCAGGCCGGGCAAGGCCTCGAGCGACCCCCGAGCGACCCCCGAGCGGCCCCTGAGCGACCCCCGAGCGTCCCTGAGCGACCCCCGCCACCCCGGGCGGCCCCGCGGCCTCCCCGGCCTGGAACCGGGACAGCGGGCCCAGGGACAAAGGAGAGCCCAGCCGGGCCAAGCCCGCTCCCCAAGCCTCCCCACCCGCGGCCCAGCCCCACCTGCGGCAGCCGCAGCAAGATCCCGGCCGCCTGGATGAGCTCGCAGCCGGTGACGCGCAGCTCGGTCTCGGTGTCCGGGTCTAGGCCGCTGCTCATGGACGGCGTGAAGCGCAGCGTGTGCTCGGGCAGGAGGCAGTTCTCCAGCGTGATCAGCACGCCCGAGTACAGCCGGTCGCCGATCAGCACCGCGCCGGAGCCCGGCGCCGGGGTGGGAGCCGCGCCGGCTGCCTGAGGGCCCGCGGGGCCGCCGCTGCCGCCGCCTCCCGCACCGCCCGCCGTCGCCGCCGCCATTTTGTGCCGCCGCCTCGCTGGCTCCGCGCTCCTTCTCCTTCTGCTTCCCCCCCGCGTCCGCCCGCCGCTGATTGGCGAAGAGCGGCGCGGTGCCGCCCGCTGATTGGCGGAGAGGTCGTGACGTCAGACGCCGCCCGGGGCCGCGCGCAGCGCGGTGACGCAGCTCTCGGGAATCCGAGCAGGGCGGGGGCAGGGGGGGCGGCGCCCTCAGAGGCGGGGCGGGCCCTGTCGCTGTTTGCGCAGAGCGGTTACCGGAAAGATGTGTTTATTCGGTCAAAATGTTAAGTCAATTAAGTTAAATGTTAGAACAGACTGTATGTGCCCGTGTGTCCTTAGCGCGGCGGCCGCCGCGGTTCGTATGCACGAGAGTCGATGTCCCGCCCCCGCCCTCTCCCCCCCTACCCAGGCTGGGTTTTCCCCGTGCAGAGCCAGAACTCACCACGCACACAAAAAACCCCAAAACATACTATTTTTCCCAGCAACAGTTGCCACAACCCCCCTCTTTTATTAAGTTCTTCTGTGACCTTGTGTCCTTAACACAGCAGCCGCTGGGTTCCATGTGCGAGGGTCGCCAGGGCTGGATTTTCCCCATGGAGAGCCAGAACTCACCAAATTATTTCCCCATATTATTTCCCCATAGCAGTTACCAAACAAAAAGGCCTTGATTAAGTCCTTAAAAGAACAGACTATGTGTGTCCTTGTGTCCTCAACACACAGGGTCCACGTGCGAGGGTCGATGTCCTCTGTGCCTCCGGGCTGGGTTTTCCCTTGCGCAGCGCCAGAATTCAACACACATATTGTTTTTTCCATTAGCCAGTTACCAAAAAAAAACCCCCTATATTAAGTCCTTAAAAGAGCAGACTGTATGTGTCCTTGTGTCCTTAACACACTGGCCACTGAGGTCCACGTGTTAGGGTCAACACACTCCCCCACCCCGGCTGGGTTTTTGCTGTGCAGCGCCAGAATTCACCACATAAATGAGTTTTTTTCCAAAGTTACCGAAAAAATATCTTTATTAAGTTATTAAGAGAACAGGCTATGTGTGTTCTTGCATGGCCTGACTGCTAACATTGAATG